AGAGCCTCGCACCTGAAACTGATAAAAAGAATAATAAGGAAGATGAGTTTATTGAAACTGTAATGAAAATCTAGATAGAAATACAGTTCAGGAAAACAAACAAACAAATGAGACAGAAGAATGAAAAGTTAAGAAGGTTTTAAGTAAGCCAGAGAATAAGTTTAATTGCTATATGCCGACCTGTTTTACACCATTTCAACCAATGATTACGAGTATTACACTAGGCTTGACTAGGAAGCCTACATCTACCGATAAATGACTAACAGTCATGACTTTATGGATTAATGCCATGTTTTTTATTTCTTTGTTTAATGCAAATAAAATCTAATACAATTGGGCAACAAAAGAAAAGAATGTATCACACAAAATGTAGGGATAACACTGTAAAGAAAAAGAAGGAAAGGGATTATGTTTGGAGAAAATAGGTCAGGTTTTGTAAACATAGAGCAGAGATGTTCTGACCAAACGTGTTCTAAACCTTTCACACCTAGACTACACATCATAGTGGAGTCAAAGTTGGCCCAGTTTAATATAATCCACCCTGGATTTTACCGAAATAGATTTGTTTCATTAGTCTTGCCACTATCAGCGCTCATACAACTAACCAGACACACAAACTTTCCAACTACTTATGATTCATTAGAAACAAGGTACAAATTACGTGCCATACTTACACAGACTCATTATCTAATGATGAAATCGCATGTGTATCATCGTATATACTCATGATCGAAAGGTTTTTCTCCAAACAACAGATCTACATCACCATCACCTGCTTCCATCAGAGCTGTTTCCAGAATGTCATTGATAACAAAGTTGTTGAGAGTGATCATTGTTCATTTCATTCCTAGTTATTACAATCCCCCCTCATTATTCTCATCATTTTCTAAAGAAAAAAAAACATTTTCTTCTTAGTTAATGTTGACTTGCTTTATATTTAATCCCTTCCAGTTATCTTCCAATCTTGATTCATTTACTTTCCCATTATTATTCATCATATTACCATTATTATTATTATTATTTCTCTCATATACATCTGTGTTTAATAAAATAATTCATCATTCAACTATACCTCCGTAATAATAATAATAATAATATGCATGTTTAACTTTTGTTTAAGTTTAGAAATGATCAAGTCTTACAATTGATTTAAACAAAATTAAAGAGAAAATGTTGACAATCTATTCCCTTTTCAATTTGCGTGTTCTAATTTATTACTGTTTATCATTTCTATTTAGTAGTATTATGAATAAATAATGTTCTTTTTTTAAAAAAAAAATAAATTAAAAGCGAAGGGAACAATATGTGTTTATTTATTTATCTTTCTTTTTTGTTGGAGATTTTTTAAAACATAATGACACTTGTTCAATGAGTTTTCATAGGACAGATGTCTGATCAGCGTTTTGATGTTTCTTTCAACAACAACAACAACAACAACAAAAAGGACATCAGCACTAAACAATGACAGTTAATTCATACACATTTATAGATGGATATGTACATCAATAAATGCATACACTCATATGTCAGACTCAATATGTTATCATCTAGTTGTAGGCTAGTCAAGATGTTTATTGATAATGAAGCATGAAAATGATAATGTTCCATAACGATATTATTGTCTAATACATGTTAAACAATCAAGCAGGAATAGACTAATGATATAAATATTGGCATAGTCAATCGCTTATTTAGTCAGATTATTTATTAGATAGTCAACTTGGTAACATTATTGGATGTCATTAGTTTGTATATTATAGGCTTGGAAGTGGACGTAAAACCTTTAAGTTTAATAGAAGATTTATAATTCAAAACTTTTATGTTTTTAGTCTTGTGTTAGATTTTTAATAGGAGGTTATATTTGCTCACAGTTTGAAGAGTTCCAAGAACTATGATAAATTATCTATTTAGTAAGTTCAATGGTTCCTCAACTTATGTCAGTCAAAGTGATGAAGAATAATCTTTGATTTAAATAGTTCCTATAATCCTTATAATGATCACTGAGTTCAAGTAACAGTATGAATATTGACACTAGAATGCAGGTACATCCAACTGCAGATAGGACAAAACGTGTGTCTTGAATTCCATTGCTACCCACAATTCATTTAAAAAAGGCCTGTAAAAGAATGGTTATATCGAGCTAATCTGTACAAGTCATATGTGCATATATACAGATAAAAATTGATAAAAATTCAATCTTGAATTCCAGTAGCGGGCTAATTTCAAACCCTTAGTAATAATTATATAAATAAGTAGTATATATGTATATATTAACTGTATTTACTTATGACAGTTGACAGATAGTAAAAATGGTGATACTGGGCCCAGTGTAAAAGTTTGCTTACATATAACCTATTCAGACTATAGAGGGAAAAAACAGCAGATAAGAGTGTGACTAATTCATTAACTTAGGATAATATGCATAATGAAATGATTTTAATTTGTACGATTCATGCTAAATCTATCATCAAATTTGACCTGGAATGATCAATACAACTTAATTACATTCATAAAACTTAAACTGATGATATTACAAGGATTTACAGTTAATTATATGCTTCACTCAACTATTAACATTAATTTTGTCATGTATAGAAATTTCTAGATTCTGTGAATAAATTAAAAGAGAAAATAAAAACAAATGATAATTTTGATCAAATTTGATCCATTCCTAATCTTTACCAAATTTGGATTGTGTAAAGTTTTTCATACAATGATCATTGTCTTGTATAATTATAATTTTATATAAGAATGGAGATTTATAGAGATTATAGTAATTTTAATAGTTAAATTCATAAATTGATCTAAGCTAGATCACCATTGAAAACCTCAGAGCACTAGATGTCCGTTTTGTCCAAATACAGGACTCTTCATCATTGCGAATCCATAATCCCACACACGGGACTCAAGATTTTCGGTCCCTTACTAGAATGAAATGGCCGTTCAGTGCTCCCAGGTTTTCAATGGTTTCCTGACTTAGATAGACTCATGAATTCAACTTTTAAAATTTTATATAAACTGATGAAATAATGGATGTTTTTTTTTGTCATTTTTAAAAAATATTCACTACCTTGGGTAACAATGATATTAATGATGATACGTTTTATTTTCCGTCTAACAATGAACACATTTACGAGGTACATATATGTTCACTTGACTTTGAGCAGCTAAACTGCAAGTTTAAATACTAATGATACTGTTCAATTAGTCTAATCGAAGTAGATAGATTGGGCTTCAAACCTGGGAATTGATGGTTGAAAGTGGAACATCGTAACCAGTGTGCCAACGATCTACTTTGTCTGAGGATATAGACTAAGAGATTATATGTTACGGGCCTTATATGCTATGACGTATATAACGTTCATTGTGAATAATTCTATAGTCTACATAACTCATGCAACACTAATATCTCTTAGTGTTTATCGTTATATAAACGTACTAAACCAAACGGTGGCTACTTCTTCCTTATAGTCAATTTTTTATATGTATGGTTTGTTTATTATTTTAGTGAATAGATTCATTTCATTTTTTAAAATCTCATCGCTTTACATCTTAATATGTCATTTATAATTGTAAGAGTTACCGAATTGTGATGTGACATATTTCATTATTATTGACAAATTTCTATCGTAAACTTTTATCTGACATGAATAAACAATTGTTTAAATTGCGAGATTCGAAGCGATATTCACTGTGTCAGAATCTCAACATGAATGTCAATAGGGCAATGAAGCTGTATCCAGATGATGAATCCCAAATGATTTGAAACGCGCTTTCTAATTTCCACTACATTGTACAATCCAATTTTTATCCTTTTAGAATGAACGTATCCCAACATTAACTGAGCAAATAGAGTCTATGATATCAAAAATATGGGCACTGAAACACTAAAAAACATAATCCTTTCAACATCTAAATAATGTAACAATAACTTAGGAGAAATCTAGGAAGTGGAAGCAATAAATAGCATCAATTCATTTATTTTTATTTATTTGAACACATAAATATTGGTACAAATGGGTACCGAACACATATGCGCCACACAAGTCCCTTGATTTGTGTGTGGGGTGTGATACTGCCCGAGTGCCCAAACCGAAGTAGGTGGTTTACTTAGGGGGCCACACTCGGAGTTTTCGACCTAAAGGTCCGATCCAAAAGGCAATGGAGATGAAGTCCCATGGTAGCTGGTGACTAGCGATTGATTCATACTCCATTTGTTCATTCAGGACCCTGGAGACCGAATCAGGGATTTCCAACCCCCTAGGTGGATTCTCCATATCCACAAACCCGGTTAAAGCGCCGGGCATTCGATTTCTGTTCTCTCAATTTCGTAAAGAACAGTAATGCCGTGAGAAGGCAGTGAGTGGAACTTCCATGGCAATGGCCATATACGCGTGGCTATGTGACAGCAATTAGAGATGGAGAGCTGACTCTCCCCATGCTCAGCCGTATCAAGAGCAGTATCAATCCATGAAGTCATTGACAAATGAATTAATCCATATTGATAGTTGATATAGTAGAGGAACTTGAACATGTCCAATGGTCTATTTTACTTATAACTGATCATTCTAAACCTCCTTGTTGAGTCCTTTTTTGTTTTAGAAATCCAATCTACAATTCACTCTTATTTTATTCTATCTTAATTATACAAACATAAAAAGAGATCACTATTGACTACAAATTAGAACTAATTACTCAATAGTTATATTAACTTGTCTATTGATCAAAACGAAATTTTAATAGCCGATTATCAATAATATAAATCATATATATATATGTATATTATTACCATTAATAGTCAATATTCTTGTCATAATCAGATAGATTAATGGTAATGTATAAAGTTCTGTTATAATAATTTCTTTTTAAATATTGATTATTGTCATTTAATTCTTTATTTATTTATCTATTTATCTCTTTATTTGATTGATTTCATTTATTTATTTATTTATTTATTTATTTATTTATTTGTTTATTTATTTATTTATTTATTTGCACAGTCGAATGTAACACGTGAATTTTGGCCTGAAAAAGTGGATGAGCATCGATTACGTATGCATGAAGAATTAAGTCAATTATTAGCACCATGTATACAACAAGTTGTAGAATTTGCTAAACGTATCCCGGAATTTAGTTCACTTGGTCAACCAGATCAATTAGTATTAATTAAAGCGGCATTTTTTGAAGTATGGCTTGTTCAAGCATCACGTTTAATATCAACACATGATCGTAAAATAACATTGGCTGATGGTAAACAAATTACTAAACAAGAATTAGATTTTATATATTCAGTAAGTGTGTTTTTTTTATAAATTTTTATTTTGTCTTGTCATTTTTTTCTTCTTTCAGTAGTAAATTTAAACTAGCGTACCATTTAATAAACACTTGGAAACATTGTACAATTGTGTCATTTTAGTATGAAACTCTTCAACAGTGGCACATCCACGATCCCGCACTGTTTACAATTAACGTTAATTTTTTTCAGTTGATTTTTCATAATTATAATCAGATTTAATTCTCACATGAAATATGAATGGAATTTTCTCGATTAAGTTCCTCATAAAACTGTCTTCATTGTGATTATTATCCAATGACTATTAATCTATGTTCTGTGATGTATTTCACAGTGAAAATTGTAAATAAAACAAGTTTTTTCCAGACTATTCTGTTGTGTGTGTGTGTGTGTGAATGAGAAATTCTAATAATTTAACGTGGGTTTAATAAATAATACCATTTATAAACTCAGTATGGGCAGAAATACTTTTTAAGACAACACACTTGTATATTAACATTAAAAATAAATTATTTAAAGTGATAACTTGATAAACGAATTTTTCTTTATTGAGATAATGAATCAATTGATTTTAGACCACGATTGAAAACCTGGAAGCACTGAACGGCCGTTTCGTTTGGATAATGACAATATGCTCACTAGTGAATAGCTTCGTGAGGGAATTCTCGGAGTTCTAGTAAGAAGCCGTGACCAGTGGAGCTAATCGGTGGCGGTACAGACAGGTATCTCCCTCAGTACAATGGAAGATGGTCGCGCAATTTCGTGAATTGATTGAGGTTAGACATTAACACGGTTAGATGCCGGCTCAGTTGTCTAGAGGTTAGGTGTTCGTGAGCGAGACTTAAGGCCCTGAGTTCGAGTCTCACGAGCGGGATCGTAGATGCGCTCTTCTGAGGAGTCCCACACTAGGACGAAACGGCCGTCCAGTGCTTTGAGGTTTTCCATGGTGATCTAACACCAATTGATTAATGATCTCAATAAAAAGAACTTAATAATCTCCACAACCCTTTACTGATGTTGATAAAGGAATTCTGATAACCTATGACATCATTTGATATGGTCAAAAGAATAAATGCAATAGACTGATCACTAAGTAGTGACGAATATCCTGTTTTTCTAGCCCTTTAATGGTGATCGAATTACTTAAGCCAATCCAGGCACTAATCTGAATGACTTGACATCGTGTATATGTCTTGAGATAAAAGATGATGGTTGGAGCTAGTGATAGGGAAGCATGAACCTAAATGTTTTGGTAGTTGAGACACTTGATGAAGCCATATCTGATACCTTTATGGAACTAATACTTTCTGTGGGATTCAGACAAGTGTCACGTAGTTTCACAATCTGATATTTTATCACTGAGCTAATTGAGCTACGAAATAGACTCATTGTTTGTATAAAGATATGAGGAAAATTTATTTTTACGTAGTCGAAAGATGTTGCAAAACTATTCCCGTTAAATTATTGACTTCTCTGGGTTTCGAAATTCATAAAATCTGTTTTGTTTTTCCGGCTGTAATTGTAATCCTGTCACTTATCGCTATACAATAAATAATCCTTAGATGGGACACGAGCATAATAACTTAAGCATTTGATTTTCAACCATTTGATCATAAGTTTTGTCATCCCAGTAGATCTATTTTAATTCCCTCGGTTTGGTAGTACTAGTTATGAGCGATGAATCAACTTTCAGCCACTTTGTCTCAGGTTCAAACCGCGCTTTATGAAGTTAAATGGAAATTTGCTTAACATCTAAAATATATATTCCTGGACCAGATTTTATTCATAGTGTTGATGCTACTTCGCATGTCACTATATATCAATTAATTAAATGTGATAAATTGTGAGGAAATGCAATATTTCCTCAAATCTTCTTAAAAAAGGATTTCGCTTATAATTGGTATTTCCAATTTTTATACGTGATGGGTATTCACATTTTAAATGACTGTTTCCCATGAATACATCAGTAAGTGTATTAATACCGATACACTACCCCCCTCTGTATGACCGTCAATCGGTATGAGGGGAGGGGCGGGAATAAATCCTATATTTTCTTTTGTATTCTCAACAGTTGGCGGCTATGTCAAGAATTATTGGAGTGTGGGAGGCCTAGTACTACTTGGTTAAATTGTATTATTTTGGCATTACGTTTACCTACAATATAACTAACGATTATCGATGGCAACTTAAAATACCTATCAGTTATTAACATCTTCACAGAATGTAGCTATTACAATCCAGTAGCTGGATTAACAGTATGATACTATAAAAAAGATGAGTATGAAGTATTAATTTCAGTTGGAAATTCAATCATAAATTTCTAATAGAGAAATCATGTTTTGTTAGCTAGTAGACCTTTATTGAAACATTAGAAAAAATTACATAATAATAATGAACTGTTCTTTCGTGCAAACATTTTTTTTCTATAACATACATATATATGATGCGTAAACATTACATTTTAACGTTTATTTTTATTCTAATTAGTTTAGTAAATTACACTATAAAAACATTTTGATATATTCAATAATAAGCATATAATAATAGTAATAGTAGTAATAACAGTAATAATAATAATAGTAATAGTAATAATAATAACAATAATAATAGTAATAGTAATAGTAATAATAACAATAATAATAATAATAGTAATAATAATAATACTAATAATCAACTGATTACTGACTAATTAAGCAAACAAATAAACTTTATTGAAATGATGTGATTGAAGGTAGATGTTTGTATACAATATTATAAATAGTTTTGTTTATAGTGATATAGCTATATAATAATGCAATAATAATAATAGTAATAATAATAAGTGTAGTACTGAAATAACTTGCGAGTCAAATTTTAATAATTTAATCTTGAATAATAATAATAATACAAATGACAATAATAATGTGAAAAATCGGATGTTGTTTTAATCAAATATTATTGTGTGTATTTATATACGTTGTACATTGTTTGTTGTTTGAAATTGTAACGGGATTCGAACTAATCGTCATTTGACTTTTAGTCATTCATGGAAGTCTGATCAGCCCTAATGGGTTGGTGTCTGACGAAATCTCTGCACGGATTCGAAAAGCTCGTTTGGCTTTTGCCAATTTATATCATCTATGACGAAGGCGAGATATCCGTCTATCAATAAAAGGATGAGTATAATGCGCGGCAGTTCGTTCTGTTCTACTTTACGACTGCAAAACGTGACCATTAAGAGTAGGAGATACTCGTAAGCTACTAGTATTTGATCACAGATGCCTTAGAAATGTTGCCAGCATCTGCTGGGACCACCGGGTAAGTAATGACGTTAGACGCAGGATATTAGGGAATGATGGTAAATCACTTGATGAGGTTGCGAATCTTCATCGACTGAGATGGTTGGGCCACGTGTTGCGTATGCCCGAACACCGATTACCATGACACACAATGCTGATTATTGTTGGGGATGGTTGTAAGAAAGTTAGGGGCAGCCAAACCGAAACGTGGCATCAGTGCTTGAAGTGACTGACGTCTAGTCTAAGTCATGTTGTTAGATGCAGACTACTTGGTTGGGGTCCGCGTGACTATCGTAACCAATGGTTGGAGACTCTTGGTGACATGGCTCAGAATCGATCACAATGGCGTAGGTGTATACACTCTCTATCTTCCTTTAAATTATGAGATTAAAATAGCTCTATATCTTTCTTTATTTCTGTACTATATTCTTACACATAACCTTTCTTTCATATATTACCACCACTAAATTAACTACTTCTATGAATCCGATGTTGATCTTGTTGTGCTAATAAGGTATGTCAACGTGGACCGATGCATATATGTGCCTGATCCTACATTGTAGTTGACTGACTGACTGAGTCATTCAGTTTTAGATTTGAAACACACTCCCCCTCCCCCCAATTTCATTTTGGTTAATTGAGTTGTACTATTTAATTCCCACATATAGAAATTTTGTTTAAAACCAACTGTACAAGTTGTACGTAATGACTAAGTTACAATTATCTATGATATGTTTGTTGATATTTCACTACAATATCAAACTTGCTGTACCACATATTTCTGTAGAGGCATACCATGTTGATGTTAATCTGCTCAACTAAGTCAAAAATTATCAGCCAGCTAGTAATGCTCTTACTAAATTCCATTGTATTTATACGATTTATTTGCAATCACATTAATAGTCACATGGATAGCATGCTTTTCTTCATATCTAATTGATTTGGGGTAACTGCGTAAAATAAAGTCGTAACTGGAATACATTTATCGTGATTTTCATGAGATATTACAAATAATTAAAAAAAATGCAACAATGAAACAGTAATTATACATGAAAGACTTTATAAGTAGTTATCTTATCGATGTTTTGTTGAGATTGCGTTAGTATTATCCTATTGTTATTTAAATGGACAGTTTAATTTGTCACACTGAACGAAACAGGAAAACCGTATTATAAATGAATTACGAATGTTAGGTTCAGAATTAAATTTTTATTTATGACCGTAATGATTGATACAATTTACCTTATGTCTGGTTTCCAGACTACAACACTGCATTGATAAGAATTCAAACTATCCTTAATTGCTTGGTAATTCAAAAAATCTCACATTTCCAGTGGTCTATATCAGTTTCTAAAAACGGCAGGTTAATAATAAAATCGTTCTTAAATCGTTGTTCATGAAACCAAATAGAAATGATATTAGATATCTTTAGTAACGATTCTATGTAGTTGTACCATACTTTTTGGATTTTTTGGATTTGCCAAAATGTATATCTCGTTAGAAATCCTGATCAACACAATAGTTTGATATAGAACTTTCTGTTGATTCTATCCAAACACCAAGCCAAGTCATTTTGAATCAGTAAATCTATAGCGATTTCATCAATAGGACTTGATAAGGCAGGTACTGAGACTAAACGACTTGGCATTAAGTTCTTTCAAGCAGTCCATTACTTCATAACATTAATCAAAAGGAAGTTTTTTAAAACTTTTCTTCCACAAGAGCATAATTTTGACAGACTGGCTACATATAATTTATTTTTATTTAATAAACTGTTTACTATTTAATTAGTAATATAAATGTATATGCTCAATCATATTTATCAGTTGGAATGAACATACAAGCACACAAATCAAACAGTGACACAATAATTTCAATGAAAAATCTGATCGAATTCCTGATCAACAATGATACCATATTCAACTGTTCAATTGACTAAATGTTTGATACTTTATTTCATCTTGTATTCAATGTATTTTATTTATACCAGAAATATGTTAATCAATTTTTAATAATCATATTTACACATTTTCATTAATCGAACTATCTATTATAAAGTCACAGTTCATATTATTGCCAAAGTCATTAGTGTCATTACTAATACTTCTCAGGGTATATATATATGTATTACAACTTCCGGCTATTTTCACCCGAAAAATTTCCCTTATTAATTGTATATACATGTATATTTGTGTATTCTAGATGAATGCGGTTGATTATTGTTGCTTTCATCTATACAAGACTTAATTTATATATATATATATATATATATATATATATATACGCATGTTCACACACATATAATTGATACAATAGTTGTTATGGCAAATATGTATTCATGTCATTACCATGTTGATAATAATAATAATAATAATAATAATAATAATAATAATAATAATGACTATCTGTATCGAAATACACTAGTGATCGTTTATAATAAATAACCCAGGTACTAAACTTTCAAATTTATTGCACGTACGAATAGAAAATCAATGTACAATAGTAATGTATATTTTGTCTATATTTGTATCTGTATTTCTGTACAGACATCTTCTCACAAGTTTTTTGTTGTTGTTGTTGTTGTTAGTATTTGTGTACCCGTTTATATTTTTGCATCCGTTTGTTATTGTTTGTAAGTATGTATATGATAAGTGAAATGGGCGCCATAATTATAATTATATAATAATGTAATCTTTTAATACAATCCATGCTTTATTTGTCATGTATCTGTCTAAAACTTCTTATTTCTTGCATACATTATTATAACTTAACGTTCCTAGTACACTACTATTATTTGATAATTGATAAATGATATAAACGATAAATGATCAACTTTTTAAAGGTTATACAAACTGTCACTAATTATACATGTATATTTCAATGAATAGAAGCCGATAATTTACAATAATTAAATAATTTGGTGTAATTGGAGTTGGTTAATATTCAAGTTCTATCTGTTTTTGGTTAATTAAGATTTCATTTGTTTGAGGGAACTTATGGAGATTGATAAGTAGTGTTTGTCATGGATTGGGATCATTTGAAATCCATATGAAAATAAGAAAACACAGGATAATTATTTTGCCCTCGTACAGGATTCACCACCAATTCTCATCCATAACCATATCAGGGATCCAGTCTAGAAATTTCAGATCATGTTGTAAGTGCGTTCATTTCAGACCACTATGTTTCTTTGTCAAATTGGATGTCATCAATGAATATGCTGGATAAAATATTTATTGATGATATATTGAATCGTGACGTATTTATTAAATTTCTTTCAAAATTAATTCTTATTCAATTACATTAACTAACCAGTACAGTGAATATCTTACAATAACAGGAATAGGAATTTGATTTTTCTTTGAGGTGACATGTATTATCTTTGAAATTGCCTATCGACAGGGCACTATTAGCGCAATTTCCCTTAATTTATATATGTAGTATATCATTCTCTCTTTAGAAAAATATATAATAAAATATCCTTTTTTTTGTTTTACTAAATTATTTTCCTTATCAGCCGAGTGTCGTGTGTTCAATATTCTCGTTCTCCGAAAATTTCAATTCATTAGTGCTGAATGACACCGAAGTTGCTCTTTGTTGTGCTGCTGTCATCACTAAACCAAGTAAGTTGTTAGAATTTTTTTAATTGTGAAAAAAGAACAACAATGTAATAGTAATAATAATCTGAGTAATTTGTAGAATCAGAAGAAAAATTATGTTGTTTAGTAAATAATGTATTCGTTATTTGTTACATTTTTAATTAGACCACCATCGGTGATTGATCATAGATAGACAAAAATTTAAAATTAGGAAGATCCTCATCAGTACAGATCCATGACTGCACTGGGGAACGAATCTAGGACCTTTTTCCTCACTATAAGCGCCTAACCTTCAGACTACTGAGTTGGCATTCAGTATTGTACATGCCTAGCTTTAATCAATCCACAACACTGAGCGATCATTTTCCACTGCCTGAGGTTGATACTTTTCTCACACTGGATATGGTTAAACTCCATTAATCACAACCTCTCACTATAACTCCCAATTATGCACTATATCATAAATTGTATTTATCTTGATGACAGATTTAGACAGTTCTTCCTAGTTAAGCTAGTTATTCACGTATTTTGTAATTAGAAATTATATAACTTTACTCCTCAACTTGTGTACAGTTACACATATTTGATGACATTTTCCATTAGACATTTTCACAATGTGTGGTAATTATGAAAGCTGGTAGAGATGTAAAGAAATACTAGGAGACCAGACAACATGAACAAGACATATGATATAGTATAAATTAAGATATTTATTAGAAAGAATATTTGCATGTTCGAAACCAACTTTGATATATCCACCAATTTACTAAATCTTAATCCTTGAACAAATAGGAAGAGGGTAATTTGACTCAAGCTGGTTTATGTATAGAAACCACAAGCTATTCATATGTTTAACCTTGAAGTAAGGGTAAGACAGTCATGTTTTGTCAGTCTATGAAAATGATAAATAATTTTCAAGAATTTACCTAAGGTATCAATTAAATAAACGTGTATTGTACATTTCTTGACTTCTGGTGAGTTTTAAGAGACCAGTATGAAAAAGACTAATGTTATTACATGACCATCTTAGACTTTACTAAAAATAGGGTCCGAAATTCCAACCTGCTGGGTGAAGTGTGATTTTCTATAACAGTGAGATATAACTCTGTGGGTATCGACCAACATCACTAATGTCAATTTCGGCTCAAGTTCTTGTCATATTTTACTCTTTTGGTCAGTTTCAAGCTTTTCATTTGACTTATAGTAGGTATTATGGAAACTAGATTCAAGAAAGTACATTAGGATATGATTATTATTTTGTTATTGAATTATATCAAATCTGTGACCACCCATAGTCCTGTGATAACATCTTTTATAAACTGTTACTATCTTATGATTTCGCAATTGTTTCTATCCTAATTTATAATTTATTTCAATTTGTTTACTTGTGATGAGCACCTAAGACGTAGGATTTGTCTAACTATATTCTTTTTAAAAAAATCTCTTAGATCGTTATGGTTTGATTGAACCGAATAAAGTAGCCATTATGCAAGATCATCATTTAGCTGCTCTTCGTATGCAATTAGAACGTAATAGACCAAGAGAGTCTACCTTAATTGGGCAAGTACGAAATGTGATTAATCAAGCGACCACAGTTGGGGATGAAGTACAATTATGTATTCGATGGTATAGAGAAAATTGGTATCGTACACGATTAGCACCATTATATGCTGAAACATATGATATTCCACATGAAGATACTTCTACTGTACCTATATCCAATCATGGTGCATCAACACCTCTTCCTAATCCTTCTCAACATACAGGTAATTCATATCCTATATGCCCAAATATTTCGTCTGTTTGCCCACAAGCTATTCCATATGGTGATGTCACAAATACAACACCATTAAATTATGGTTCTTCAACAGCATCTATTCCACAAGCTGTTCATCATCATTATCCAAACCAATCTATTAATAGATCGGATATTTCCAATATGATACCATCTTGTTCAATTAACGGAAATATGGTTTACTGCAATAATAATAACAATGGAAATAGAATTCAAACTGGTAATATTGATCATTGTTCTTCTGATGGTCAAATACACGATGTTACTCAAAAACAAAACTCACAACATCAAATTCATCAACAATCACATTTAATTCCAGATTCATCTCATATGAGAGGATCTTATTCGTCAACTACAAATTTAACATCATCAAATTCTGATTCACCTTTAAATAATCAATCACATGCATTTTCTGGACAATTTAATTATCATGATAATTCAATAACCTATAATCCATCCAATTCGAATACATATTCGAATTCCAGAGATTGTTCTCCTTCTTCTACACAAATGCTTTCAACAAACTACTTGGTGCCATCACCTCAACAACAACAACACCAACGAAGTCAAGTATCTGTTTTACAATCATCTCAATACTCTTGTTCTTCAGCAATAACCTCACCTCAACGTCAAGTCACCTCATCAGTACAATCAACAGGAATGATATCGACACAAAATCAAAATGATCATATGAATTTAAATAAATCGGTAATTTCGGTTAAAAACCATAGTTCACGTTCTAATACTCCTACATCTTACAATAATAATATAATTCATCCTAGTAGTACAAATGAAAGTTTGCCATCTTTATGGACAAATATGAATACCGACAGTAATAATAATAATAATGGTAATAATGGTCTAAGTGATCATGCAATCAGTTCAAATGGTGGGACACCAGAAATCCAACAGCAATCACATCATCAACAATATCATACCTCACCAATCTCGCAGTCAGATCTAATGAATAATACTCCTGACACTAAGCATAATTTAAATGCATTATCACCTATTAATGAAACTTTATCATGTGAACAACAAGATACATAGATATCTGGTGAATTATTATAATTCGTGAGTTATACAGCTTAAATAATCTACTTTTCACTTATATGATAAATACAGTGTATTCGGTGTATATATACATTTAAAACACTTATAGCTTATAGAAGAACCACTGAATAAGTTATACAGAGGTTAAGCATAAGATATCATGTAAAAATTCAAATCGACCGATGAGTTTATGTAACTTTATTTACTGAATAACACGTTTTATAGCTATCACTTATTTCAGCGTGAGCTAGATGAAGTCGGGAGGTGAACAAAACATAGTCTCTAACTGCTTTCTTGAACCATATCATGAGATATGGACCTCCTTATTGATCATTTTAATAAGTTGTTTTGGGGTTATTAAGTAATATAACTCAGAACCGATGACAGTGACGTAAATAAATTCATTCTACATATTCCTCTTAATCTTAAGCATTTGTATTATTCCATGTCCTTTGTTTCTTGATTTCATTTTTTCTTCCTAAATTGTATTCTTTATGTTCAACTTCTTTTCTAAAAGTTGTCGATAACGTATTGATTATTTCAAATCATTCCGCTTTACGTCTTTTTCACTTCTTGTCAGTTCATGAAGTCAGTGACTGTTAGTCTGAAGTATATTAGTAGATGGAGACCACCTGGTTGTGGTCTGTGTGATAACCTCAGTCAGTGGTTGAAGACTTCGGTTGACATGTTTCAGGATCATTCACCCTTTATCTTCCTCTTGATCTTGAATCCCAGTATTTCTTCATGCCTACCTTTCCTCTATATTTTCAATGTTCAGTCGTTCTCATTATTATTTCTACCATGTATATGATTGTCTTTTGTTTAGATCCATGTATATATGTTCATTGTCGATATTAACAAAAAGGGAAAGATATATTTAGTGTCAGATCATATAATTAATCAGTAGCTCAAGAAAAAATAAGAGATTATCAGTCAGTCAGCAGCAACGTAGAACTTCATACGTTGTCAATACCGTATTATTATCATAGTATTACTAAGGTTTTACATAGTCTAGTTTTATACTTCTTGTGGTTACTTTGAAATTAAATGAATTTCAGAGAGGTTTAATGCTTAAATAAAAAGTTTAAAATAAATCTCACTTCTTTGATTTATTTTTTTCTGGTAATTGTTCTCTAGATTTCGTTAATTTTAAAGTTTTGTTAGTAGTGGATGTACTACTTAAATATGGTTTTATTTTTATCAAGCTATGTCATAGAATTCCTTTTAGAGAGAATGATTTTGTAAATTGACTTAGAATAAATACACAGATGATAAAATGCTGTCTTCTAGGTGACCTTACAACTTCTACTATTCGGAAACCTTTCGTGGTACTGTTTCATGACATTTTATGAATTATATTTGAAAACTTAATGCTGGGTACAGTAAATCAGTGTTATTATATACGATACTAAGAAATGAGAAATAATGTTCGTTAAGCGTTTTTTAGCGAGTTAGTTTTCTACGGGGTGGGGTTGCTAACCCTATACCCGACCCTCCTGCTTTATCCAGGCTTGGGACCGGCAGTAGCCCCAGAGGAGCCCCAGGAGGACTTAGTATTCACTAATGGTAGTCATCAGAAATTATAATAAATAAAATTGGGTATGAAAATGGGTATTCTACTTTCTATTCAAGGATCCACTATGTTGTTAGTGGTTTCCGATTTGTAACGGCTTTAGTATTTTAAAGACAAAAATCCGTAAAAATTTCATTTTATTCAATGAAACAATCTTTCATCATAATTCAAAAGCTCGTAATTATTGTATCTTCTTTCGTTTATTTCAATTTTGTAGGAAATTTCTCTCCGGAATTATATGTAAAATAAAACTTGTCAATAATGACTATCCAACTTCTTATCATTGATTAACATACAGAAAGAAAGAAAACAATTCTTAAGACTTCATTTTATAATCAACATATTTGTATTCAATCCTTATCCTTGCAAATTGAATTCTTCTTCTAATTCTCAGGGAATTCTCTAAAAGAAACCAACAATTTTATTTCTAAGCATTACGTAATAGAAAACCAAAAAAAAACAAACAAACACACAAATGTAATCCAGTCACAATTACTTACATGTTCATGAATTATACAAAATTACATTCAACTACATACATACTTATGATGTATGGATACATACATGTGTTTACATGTCACAGGGATTAATTTATTGCGGTTCACTGTATTTTCCTTTTTTTTTTAATTACAAATATTCATCTCAGGGACTAGAGATTAATTATGTCTTTTAACTTTTTGTTAAAAGTTTTCACACTTTCACACTGTTCCTTTCCACCTAACCAACTCTTCCTATTACTGCTAATATTATCAGCGAAATTATTTAGAGTTTAAAAAAAAACAAGTATATCAAGATATGGAACAATATTGTATTATGTTAAGTAGTCTTGAACTGTCTATTCAACTCTTTGAATGTAACATTATTACTTATTATTTCATTTATGACATTTGTATTTAACTTATCTCAGGGCTTATAACGTTTCATTGAATGTTCTACAAATATTTTATGTAGCTATACTATTATTATTATTATTATTATTATTATTATTATTATTATTATCACTTTTGTATTACTTTGGAAAGAAGAAACAATACCATCAGGATATTAAGAGTATATGCATATACATATATATGCTATTCTCATTTTCTCAGGGCTATTCAATATTCAACTCAGGTATTTGTTTGTCTTATTATTATTATTATTATTATTATTTCTACTTGAAACTCTTCTTCTTCTATTCAATGTTTTCATATACTACCTTGATCAATTAACTTATGTTTTTCCTCCAATCTTTATTAATATGATAATGTCTATTGTGCGAATTAGTTAAAAAGAACTGAATTAATTAATTATTGAATAATTTCAGCTTTTACATTACAATTACTCAGGGAATTCATATATTCTTATAATTAATTAAGTTTATACTCTTTATAGTCTTAATTTGTCTTTTTTTCTTGTTGTCGTTGTTGTTGTTGTTGTTATTATCCATGCGTTTGTATGTACGACATTTACAATATCATTATATTGTTATTTTGTTGTTCCTCATTTTGCATAACATATATATATATATATATATATATATATATATATATATATAATTTACAATTGAGTGTTATTTTGGCTCTGTAAGAATTCATGGTTCTTTTTTTTTTTGTTTGTTTGTTTGTTTTCCATTGTGCTTTCAATGATCAATTATTTATTTATTATTTATTGCCCTCTCATTACAACACAAGTACTAATCAGGTTTTGTTTAATTAAAATTAATTATTTGTTAGTTTCTATATATCCCTTTTCAATTTGATCATGATCAAACTATAATAGTTTATCAGGTATATAATTAACTTACAAAATTATATATACATATGTATGAACATGTTAAGTATTCTAATTGTTAGCTTATATTCTCTTTTCGGATTATTCTCTATTTCTTTATGTTCTGTTTTGCATGATTCTTTCTTCCTCTTCTTCTTCTTCTTGTTGTTGTTGCTGTTGCTGTTGGCAAGTTTGTCTTCTTTTCTTTCTAAAATTTTCCTTTTCTACTATTTCAACTAACTAGTCTAATTATGATAAGTACAATCAGATGAAAGTTATATTGACATGGTTGTACACATTTCCTTGATAAAACTTATCAACCGTGAATATTTACCTCTCTTTTTTTAAAAAAATTTCTTTGTTCTTTACTGATTACATCTGTTGAATTATTTTCTGTTTGTTTGTTGATATTTTGTGAATTTTAATATTAAAATTAAAATAGTCATTGGGATAATTCAAGTTAATTTCAATCATACATATACATATATATTATTACTATTAGTTATTCATTCCATCATAATTGTTCATTACGTAAGCTTAATCTAAGACTGAATTAATATCTAATGAAAGCGAAATAGTCGATTTCATCAATTCATTCATTAATTAATTAACGAATGATCACTGGTTTTTTTTTTCTTCGTTTGTTTTGTTTTGTACAACAAAAAACCAACCTTATTTTGTATTCTATTGTACTCATTCATAAAGTAAGGTATATATGGATATATATATATTCATATATAAATGAATAGTTGTTATCTGCTTGTTTATATGTTTGTTTGACATTGCTAATTATTGGTCAAACCTGCTTAATTAATATTTACATTTCTGATAACAGTGATATTATTATTATTATTATTATAATTACTACTACTACTACTACTACTATTACAGTTATTGTCAATGTTACTATTGATACTACTGATTATATTATTATTACTACTACTTTTGTAATCCTTGTTCTCGTCATGATCATTTAAGGAGTATCTATTGTTGTCTGTGTATGTTAATTTCGGTTCTCTTGTGTATGCACGTAAATCTATCTAAATGCAATGGTGTAATTTCATTTACAAAATGAAACATATTGTTTCTGTTTATTATTATTTTTTCATTTTGGTAATTAATCAAATTATCACTAAACTCTTATTCATTTTTCTTTCATTACGCAATCTATACTGTTCTCTGTGTGTTTTACAATCTTACCATATTATGAATGGTATGATATATCCACCTTTTTCTCTCTCTTTCTATTGAAAAAACAAACAATTGTTTACACATATACTACTTGTGTGAAAAGGCAAAACAGAGACAGAATTATTCATTGTTTTCATCATTTGTATTCAATAATCAACTCAAAATATAAACGGTATATATATATATTGTTTGTGATTACAAATTTCCCTTTGACTAATTCCTAAAGTCTTAATTACTTTCATTCTGTTTTCTTCATCGATATTCTTGGAATGAACTCTATCTTTCATCTTTATTCAGTTTAACTATTCTTTACAACCTTATACATTTGAATCAATAGTTAATCATTAACACTAATACGCACAAAAGACATTTCAATAGTCATTATCTCAGGAACCGTTTTGTTTCTTTTGTTTTGTCCTATTTTTTAATGTATACGAAATTGAGTGAATTAAATTAGTTAATCGAGTCTATCGCTGTTGCTTATTTCATTTCTTCCACGAATTCATCATTTATCCTGTTTCTTATACAAAAAGTTCAATATTTTTTTTCTCTCTCTCTCTCTCTTAACTTTTGTTTCTCTGTGGAATAATTTTTCATTGATCGTGTTAAAAGAAAAAAAAACAAACAAACATGGATTTTTGTTTTTAAAATTGATTCATTTGTTTCGTTATCTGGTTGGTTTCATCAAATTATTATTGTTCCTCCATAAAAGTGATATAAAAAATATATACAATCATATGTATGTATATATACATATATATATATATAATAAAGTGTACTTTGTTTTTCATTGATTCGACTTAGCTAAAAAAGATATAAGTATAATAAGACCTTATCAATTCATTCGACTTCTTTTTCCATGTGCATTTCTTATTATCATATTCAAATAGTCAACTTTTTCAGTATAATACATAAGTAGATTACTTTCAATCTGTTGGTTGTAAATGTGACTGTTGTTTTTGAGGATACAATTCAAAACATAGTATACTCAAATTATAATGTTATCCAATTAGATTGAATAAGTATTTTTTATAATTTAATAGTTGAATTCATGGGTCAATTGAAGCTAGATCATCATAGAAAACCTGGAAGCACTGGTGGATAGTGGCACAACTTCTTGGATTGGTTAAAATCAGACATTAACAGCGTTGGATGTCGTCTCAGTGATCTAGTGGTTAAGCGCTCGCTCACGAGACTGATAGGTCCTGGCTCCGAATCTTGCGAGGCGGGATCGTTGATGCGCACTGCTGAGAAGTCCTATACTAGGATGGAACGACCGTTCAGTGCTTCCAGGTTCTTCATTGACTCATTCAACTATTAAAATTATACATTATTAATTCCTAGTGAGACCTTGGATGCAGATTGCTGAGGAGTTGTATACTAGAACAAAATAACTCCAATGACTTGTAATTTTCTCTGGTTGTTTGATTTAGATCAGTTCATGTTGTTAATTAAAAACTCAATAACTACCACAAACCCTTACACATATAACGCATGTATAACTGAAAATTACTTTTAGACTAGTTCAGTAAACAGACATTAAGGAACTTGTCATCCACAAAACCCTTCTCTGATTATGTTTTATAAATTAATCAAATGGTTAGTATTCGGTTGTTGATAGGTTAACATGTAATGGTTAATGGAAAATATTAATAAAAAAATCTGACAGACAGAACAATGAATCTTCTTATTTTATTTGGTTTTCGACACTAAATAACAGTATTATTTATTCCGAGATAGAGGGTGTTGAATAGCTAATTCGTTCTGGAGTTAGACTCTAAAATTGGACATGTCTGACTTCTTAAGCTGTTTTTCAGCTATCTCTGGTTTGAAATATTCCTTCGATTAATGTAGCTGTGTGGTGAGAAATGTTTTCAAACAAAAATTATCTATATTAGCTAATTAATTAAATAAAAAGTGCTAGAAATCCCAAGTTACTTATTGTTAAGTAATAATGACTGGGTTTACTTACTTACGCCTGTTACTCCTAGTGGTGCATAGACCGCCGACTAGCATTCTCCAACCCACTCTGTCATGAGCCTTCTTTTCTAGATCTATCCAGTTGTTGTTCATTCTTACATCTGTCTCCATTTCTTGGCGCAATGTGTTCTTTGACCTTGAGGGTTCCAGATGAGGGCTTGCCTTGTGACGCAGTTGGGTGCTTTCCTCAATATGTGTCCTATCCACTTCCAGCGCCTCTATCTGATTTTTTTTCTCCTCTGGGATCTGATTTGTTCTTTCCCACAGTAGGTTGTTGCTGATAGTGTCTGGCCAACGGATCTCAAGTATTTTGCGTAGACAATTGTTAATAAACACTTGTATTTTCTGGATGATAGCTTTCGTGGTTCACCGATTTTCCGCCCCATACAGTAGAACCGTTTCGACATTTGTATTGAAAATTCCGACTTTGGTGTTGGTTGGAAAGTAATAATAACTTATAACAATTCTTTCTGAAATGACTACGCTAAAGAAGTAGCTTATATTAAGTCACGAAATGTCGGGAATACAATTTTTCTACGTATTGGAATAGAAGAAAAACATCTATTATTAAATATACTTTTCTTTTGATTCAAAATTTTTGAAAACTATCTAATCAATCAGTCATTGACATGTCACCTAAGACCTGACGCATATGGACATGGGCTCAAGTTGCTATACTACATAAGCACAGTGAAATAAAATTATTAAAACTAATCCCAGAGTAACAGAAATAGTGACACAATCAGTGGTAGTAGTAATAGTAGAGAAAATTAAGTATAAGAAAAAATTAATTAAAAAGTTTGGGATTTTGGTCTCAGGTTATAAAGAATAATTGAGAGGGAATGAAACTGGGCCATTGCGAACGATTCTTAATTAAACCATACAATCTCTTACCATTGGTTGTGCTAATCACCCAGACCCTAACCAGTTGGTCTACACCTATTGACTAGGCCCAGTTCAATTGTCAATAAAACTGTGTAATAGTTAAATAGGCTTTAGAAAAATCACGCATAAATCATAATTTGACAGAAATATTTTCTTTTAGTATTCATTAAGAA